ATCTGCTGCACCCGAGGGTTACAGATGCGTTGACAACCTTTTGTAAATTGGTCTCCGGCTACCTCACTCACCAGACAAAACGCAAAAGTATTTGTCATACTTCCACTTTACGCTGGTCTTCTGTGAGGTCGTGGTACTTACCCGGACTGCCCATTCGTGCAACAGCCGACGCTGCCGCGTGGCCCTACCATCGTAAAGTATCTATGGAAATATTATAAAACACAACTAATTTATTTAAAATATTGTCATAATTAGTCTTTTTGTTAAGTATTGGATATGTTTTTCTTAGTGTATAGTAAGAAGATTTATCATGACTGTGAATGAATTTTAACATTTTTAGTGTTTTATTTTTATTTGGCGCGTTCGTAAAAATCTTTGAGAGTAAATTTTTTACGATACACGTACACCGACACCACCATGATGGAATGGCTATCAAAAACAAATTTTTGACAACCTATAACTCCAATTTATATTATTTAATTACACCGTTCTCAATTGTATATAATATATTTTTCAAAAGCAAAGAGTATTTGAATAAGGCATAACATTTTTAGGTATTTTTCTTACGTGCGTACACACATATTTTTTTTTATTCAAAGGGTAATTTCTTGTGTGTGTAAATACATACTAAATAATCTATGAGTATTGCTTTATTGTATATGTAAATAAATATGTACTTAACACGATTACATATTAAGAGACCAAGACAAATACATTTCTTACTTTAACCTAAAATGTATTAAATTTCACATCAGAACGACGCGATATGTTTAAATTTATCCCCAAGCTCGTAACATGTAAGGAGGATGTAAATTACAAAGATTTTAAGATCACGCAGCAGCCTCGGCTGTTGCACGATTCCGGGTTCACAGAAGACCGGCGTAAAGTGGAAGTATGACAAATATTTCGCGTTTCGTCTGGTGAGTGAGGTAAGCCCAATTTTTAAAAGGTTGTCAACGCATCTGTAACCCTCGAGTGTAGCAGATGTCCATGGGCGGCGGTATTCACTTAACATCAGGTGAACCGTCTGCTCGTTTGACAACTTTTCGCATAAAAAAAATAATAAAAAATCAACGATTTTTATTTATTTTGATAAAACTCCAGACATGACCTAAAAACAGCAATAAAATCTTCGTAACAAATTTTGTTTCACGTATATTGTTATCCTGTGTAGACTTTAATGTTAAGATTTGGATTAGAAACAAAGGGAAAGAATTTTACTTCCTTTTACTGTCAAGCATTTTCCCTGAACATTCGCCTATAATTAAGGTATTATTTATTTATTTTTGTTTTGCATGTTATACAACTTACCTAAATCAGCACTATTCAATTTTAAATTAAAAAATCTCTATTTCAGGCCGTGTGGTGTCGGCGTAAGAATAAGCCACCTCATCTCATCCCGTGAGCGTCGTAAAAGGCGACTAAGGGACAAGCTACAAACATCTGGTGGCCACCGATAGATGGCGGGATAATCGTCGCGATTCTCCAGACCCTAAATATCAAGGCCAATAACGGGCAGCAGCGTTAAAGGTGCCAGGCGTGGCAACTATGGAAAAACCCCCCCTCATGATGGAAGTCCAAAATGTGCGGCCCGCAGTCCCCGGCGGCCCTGTTATTCCTGACTACGGTAGCGGCAGGGCAGGTGGTGCTAAGAATCTCCGGCTAGGATTCGACTACCAACGACGGCGACTGGACCTGGCAACATACAACGCAAGAATATTGAGAACTGACGAGAAGATTAAATAGGATTATCTGAAGTCCGAAGACAGGGGGAGGACACCATAATTCTCGAATCCGGCAACCTGTTTTACCACCGGGAGTTCGACCACCTGTCCCAAGAAGGTGTCGGATTTATCGTCCACAAGTCTCTCATTAACAACGTTGTTAAAACCGAGGGTGTGTCGTCGAGTGTTACGTACCTTATAGTCAGAATATCCAAACGATATTCGCTGAAGGTCATACAGGTTTACGTACCAACGTCGACATACCCCGATGATTAGGTGGAGGCAATGTATGAGGATATATCACGAGACATACATTCCTCCAAAACTCATTACATGGTGTTAATGAGAGACTTCAACGCAAAACTAGGCAAAAGGAAAGACGAGGAGCTGAGAGTAGGTAGTTTTGGAATAGGGCAACGAAACCCAAGGGGGCAGCAGCTGGCTGATTTTATGGAGATGGAGGGACTCTTTATTATGAACTCCTTCTTCAAAAAGCAGCCCCATAGAAAGTTGACTTGGATGGTTCTATAAAAACGAGATTGACTTTATTATGACGAACAAACGGTAAATATTCAATGATACCTCTGTGTCAAGGGTAGTAGGGCAGTAATCACCAATTGGTGTGAGGCACATTGAATATTAACATCAGGCTGGAAAGATCTCGTCTAATGAAGTCCACACTCTGACCATCTCGTGCCCATATCCAGAAATCCGAAAGCTTTCAGCGAGAGCTACACAATCGCTTCTAATGCCTAGATAATTGCAGCATGGTGGACGATATTAACGCTAAGCTCGTGGAAACTATTCACGCCGTGGGCCTGAGACTGAAGTGAGATGCGGCTACAGTCTTTAAATGACATGTCAGACTACAGGTGGCTTAATAGGCAGATCTCCAAATGTATGCGGTGAGACTTACGCAACTTCAATACAGCGCGTATTGAGGGAGCTATAAAGCTGAATATAGGCTCAAAAGTCTTCGCCAGAGATCTGCTTATCGGACAAAGCCAACTGACTAAGTTGAAGACTGACAGCGGCGCTATCATCTCCAGTAGACCAGAGGTTTTGAGTGAGATAGAGGGGTTCTATGCACAACTATACACATCGTCTTTGGAGCCACACACATATGTGAATAACGACCCAAGAGCTTATCCGACACTATTCCGAAAATATCCCGGACGTCAGTCTGAACGAGATTAGAATGGCTCTTGACCAGCTTAAGAATGGCAAAGCATGAGGAGAGGATGGAATCACAGCAGAACTTCTGAAAGCGGGTGGAGAACCCGTACCTGTAGTCATTCAGAGGCTCTTTAATTCCGTCCTTCAGGGTGGTGCTACACCAGAGGCCTGAGGCAGAAGTATGGTGGTGCTGTTCTTCAAGAAAAGCGATAACGCTGTCTTGAAGAACTATAGACCGATATCCCTTCAGAGCCGCGTCTATGTGCTGTTCTCAAGAGTCATCTTGAATCGTCTCGCTTCGAGACTCGACGACTTTCAGCCTCCCGAACAAGCTGGATTCCGAAAAGGCTTCAGTACCATAGACCACTTACACATCTTGCGGCAGATTATACAGCAGACCGAGGAGTATAATCTGCCTTTGTGCCTAGCGTATGTGGACTATGAGAAAGCCTTCGATTCTGTCGAAATTTGGGCGGTACACCAGGCTCTTCAGAGGTGCCAAATTGACTGTTTATCGAGGTGCTGAAGTGTGTGTATAACAAGGCTACGATATCCGTCCAAGTACAGTCCAGTAGTACAAACCCTATCCATCTGCAGACGGGTGTAAGACAGGGTGTCTTCGGACGGGTCATTCGTAAAAGTTGGGTGGAGTGTTAAGCTTTAGTTATCTTCTAAAGTTATAGGTATAGTAACTGGGTGTCTTCGGACAGGTCATTCGTAAAAGTTGGGTGGAGTGTTAAGCTTTAGTTATCTTCTAAAGTTATAGGTATAGTAACTTCAATCCTGTTTTTTGATTTGAAAAATGAATTTCAATTCCATTTTCTCAAGTAATTCCAAGAAAACGTCCAATTAAATTACAAATAAACAGAAGCTCGTACCCGTCTCGAGTGAGATCCGTACGTATATAAGAGAAAGAGAACTAACTTAATACAAGCGCGTGTATAATTTTTCAACAGTTAAATGTGAAAATTGATATTATTTAATATAGCTCCTTTGAAATTATTACTTGTTATATCTGGTTCACGCAAATGAAAAATAACGGCAGTCCCCAACAATGCTGGCTTAATTAGCTGAAATGTGCTAGAATCCACAGAGAATAAATTACACGTCTTCATTACACACAAGTCTACATTTAGTTTTTATCGGCATCGAAATCGATTGTGTATTGTGTCTCGTTAAACAGAACGCAAAAAACATAAAGTTTTAGCTGTTTAATATCACACCACTTCTTCAAATCTGAAAAACATAAAACCTCTTTGTAATAATAACCAAAATAATCATTTTATATATAACACAAAATTGTGTATAAGATTTTTAAGCACGTGTACGTTTACGACGACTAAGACGTGTATCCTAGATGTACTTTCCCAATGTATCATTATGTATAATTACAAGCAGGTTGTTGTGTGTGATATTTTGGATTTACTTCTTTGTATTATTGTGGAAATATAATGTTCCATATCTTTACGCGTTTATCGATATTGTCACTTCTTTTCTCTTTGATATACAGTATCATAGAAATATAATATACCAAATTTGGAGCCCTTAACAATAAATAGAAGCAGATCTATTACTAGTCATGAAAATTTAAATGTACTTGAACATATGTGTACCTACTACTACTAGCCAATGGCCTCGTCCGTCCAAAGGCTATTACAGCATAATCCGCCCCCGGTATAGATTTGCAGACCATCATCATATAATAGATATCGAAATATTTGTCTTTCATTATTTCTCATATATGTAGGTAGAAGTTTCCTCTACCTAAAACCCATCGGATTAAAGTGCAATTAACAATTTTAGTAAGGCCGGCATGGAGCTTTGAAATCTGGTTGCAAAATTAAATACAAAAGGCAATGAGTTTCATTTATGCATTAACTGCATTACTTTAATCTCTTCAAATGTGTTTCGGAGCATGAGGTTAATTTAAAACATAATATATTTATGGATTATTTGGAGTTTTAGTTTTCAAATGCTTAATCTCGATTAAAGTCACATTTATAGTTATTCGTGGTATAGTTAGTGACTATATAGTAGCCCTCACTTCAGTAGGCCACAGAGAGACGATGACCAAGTTCGGATGGGGGGTCACCAAGCTCTATGGGGTCTAGCATAGAACCCTTGCCCAGGGAAACGGATGAAGACCTCAACGGTGGAATGGGCGGAGACAGCAGGTGTTGGAACGGCCAGACCAGTGGAAGAGGCGAGCCACAGGGGCGTAGAACCTGGAACCTGATGGAGGGCAGCGGTAGCCATCAGGACCTAAGTGAAGTGCAAAACGGTTATTTCTGGACCGGTTCATGATGGAATACTATAGCCACTGAGGTTATAGTACCGCGATGTAGAAAGCAAGGGGAAACTACTACATTACGATCGCATGAGAGCTGTATGATGGACACAATTCTGTCCATCGACAGCCGCGACCACTCTGCCAAGAGTGTCCGATTAAGAAGAAGTTAGTGACAAATTGATACTATTCAGATTTTTCAAAAAACTAAAATGCTTCATGTTTAGAAAGTACCAGGTTAATGAGTTCATTGTATGAATGTGCCAACTAAAACATGGTTAAAGATGAACCGTATAGCTAGGTCATTCTTCAGCCATACATGCCTGAAATTGATGTAAATAGAACACGACCATGACGTATTGATACGAGCAGATACTAAGCAGCTGCCACATTTCTTAATAATCATATACAAGAAAAGTTTCAAGGTTCACAGGAAGCGACGCATCAAAGTAATTACCCAATTTATTATCCCAATTTATTATATAACTTCTGAAGCTAACTTCTTATTTAACAATATAACTAAAATAACAAATCATTTCCAATCAGATCAGCGGCATTTCTATAATCATTTGATTTAAAGTTTATATGTTTATAGACAGTTTTTTTGTTATGCGTTACAGATGCTACCGGACGTCGCGCTCGTGTGCAAACAGGTCTGTAAAATACATCAATGAGGTTATTTTCTATTTTGCGGTTAGCGTCACCGTAAACCGTAATAAATTTGCACTTCCAACACATGAAGTAGGCCGTTGGTTTTAAATTAGGAACGCCGTTAAATCCCACCGACCCATCCAAAACTATTGTATCTATTAATGTGACGAACTATTTAACGTGTTTATACGTATACGTATTGTGTTTGGGAGTACGATAAAGTTTGCCCGCATTAGTCAGTTACCACTCGATCGTGATGACGCACAAACCACCACGTGAACACACCTTATTTCACAACTAGGCTTATAATTAACCATCGAATGTAGCTCGAGCCATCATAAAGAGAAGTTTTGTGCATTGGCAATTGCTATTTTAGAAAATCTCAAGGGTGCACCGGAATGATTACCGGTTTATTTGAAAACAAACAAATCGAAAAACATTTGAGTACACTCCAGAGCTTAATGATGTAAGTCCAATATTCTTAAAGAATTTTTAGTAATACAATAATACTTAATACATATATTTTTTTCTGGGTATTATAGAAAGAAATGAAAAATGTATGATATATTGTGGATTATTATTTCAACAACTATGTATATTACATATAGTTAGACGTATGATACTGAAAGTATGATCGACTATGTAACTATAACAATAGAAACAATAACTGTTTTATATTAATTATTTAGGTAATTTCTTTGTTAGTTTCAACAATGATCAACAAAAAAGCGAATGGCCAGTATCAGAAATTTTCTGAAAACCCGCATATATTTTATCTTTATACAATACATTCACAGGATGTAACTTGGTGCCTAGTTATAATTTTCTAATGTGAAGATAATAAAGTAAGATAATTTGTTTTGTTGCATTCACTAATATTAAAATTAATAAAATTAATTAAACTATGAAATAATTGTAATTAACACCTTACATATTAAAGCAATCCGTAATCTATTAAGTAGTTATTATATCATGTAATATTACATAGATTGCAATTATGTTTCGACATTATTAATTTAGTAGAGAAAGCATAAATATTGATTATCTGGTCCTAGTAATTATTATTTATAATAACAAAAAGTGTGTACATATAATTTTTTTTCTAAAAATTATCTTTATAACGGAGAATATAATATTGTTTAAGATAAATGCAGCACTTGGGCGTGCGCACAATGCGCGTCCGAACGAAGTTTCGGTTTAGTCCGTTTAAGAAATAGGTTTCGGTTTAGTTTCGTTTTTGGCTGTCAGTAAACAATAAGTTGTTTTTTTCGTTAGCTTATTTGGTGTGAAATTTAATCCAAAAGTAATTTAATTTAATGCAAATGGTGTAATGAAGTATATAGAAAGATAATAGCCGAAAAGGAAAAAAATCTTGGTCTGAAGCTAAAATCGTTGAAATTTATTGAAGCTGAACATAGAAAGTATTTAAAACATCAGTTGGAAATCAAACAGCACAAATTTGTTTCAAAAATACTTAATTTTTGTACTTGGTAAGCAGATAACTTTATTCATTGTAGTGTACTTCATTAACAAGAGCCACACAGAATAACCAAGTTTTACAAGTTGAAAAGTGTTTATTAACTTTTTACTACAAATTTTATTATTCCATCTTAAGTGCAGAGATTAGCACTATAAAAATTTAAATTTCTAATAGCAATGGCGATCTCTCTCATTTCGAATTATGGTTGTAAAACGATATTCGAAATTGTTTGGAACGCTGTAAAGGTTGCGCCAGCATTGCTTGAAATTCGAAAAACAATGTAAATAAAAGGCGTTGAGATTTTCGTCGATATAGTAATCAGCCATTTAGCTTAGTGGTTAAAGCGCCAGGGTACATTTTTCTACAAATTTTAGTGTTATTTGTTTTGACCAATAACACCACATTTTTCTTCGTTTCCTTATAACCTTAATTAAATGTACTTTATAAAAAAAATGACGATTAGAAGATTGTTTCGGCTACTCGAACCCCCTGGGTTGGCTATATGATAATATGATATGATACGCTTGATAATGATAATATCATACTCGTACACCGTACGAGTATGATATGATATGTTATATTCTTTTTTACAAATTAATCTAAGAGTCCCTTCGACTTGAAACTAGAGTGATTTAGAGAAATAAGATGTATAATCTGACCAGAAAAGAAATTTTTCATTCATGCTGACCATTACTAACACATATAAATAGCATCGGATGGAATCGCAAACAAATTATCTGATGAGCTTACTATTAGCTCCAAATGACAACATCATTGCTAAATAGAAGTAATGGTAGAGCATTCATTTATAAGCGACCGTACTGGTCGCTGTAAATTGTAAATAAAGTAGATGCAGCAAACGGAAGATTCTATGTATGTAATTAATTGGTGCATATATCTTCATCGCGTTCGGGCTCAATATTTTTAATTGATTCACCACCGCATAAATATGGCCTATATACCGTATTTAAACACTCTCGGTCATCTGAAGATAATCTGTCGCAGCATACGTGGGACTTTTACAGAGTAAACATGAAAGTCACAGCATAGGTTGCTCTGATTCCATGATGATATTAATAAAGATAGCCTCACCCAATGATGCCAATGGAAATCCGAGAAGACCTATAGTAATGTAAGATAATTCTATAGGACTCCTCGCGTTTCAAATGTCTATAAGACCTTGAGCTGGTCGTGGACAACTCGTTGAGAACGGCGAGAATTTAAGAAAATTTAATAAATCAGTCAATATTAGACTTAAAAAGAACGCCTTACTTAACAGAACCATCTTAAAATATCAAGATGGTTCTGTTCTGTCAGCGAAACGGAATAAAAAAGAAATCATTCAACGTTTCGGAAGAGACTTCATTTTAAATTAGCTCAGAGAATCACTTCGATGGTTAAAGCTTTTTTTATCAGTAGATAGTATTAGTAAAGTCTTGACTGCAAATTATTGTACCCGACGTTTACGGCCACAATGTCCATGTAACACCATATCCACCCCCGTTTGGGTCAAATTCTTGTTTTTATGATTTACTGACTTTCCTTTAACTAATATCTGTCCGTAAGATTGTGATTTCACAATTGACCTCCGAATCATATACTCCGAAGAGATTCCAGTAAAATACATGAAACATATGGTATAAACATAACATTGGAAACATATTGGAAACCTCAAGAGAAAAAAAAGGTAGACGTCTAGTCCCTGAAAAGACCGGATGCGTCAGTACAGTACCTCAAGTTGATGGATCCTATAAAGGGGACATTTGTTTATTATTTAATAATGTACATTCAGTTTCATATTAATATTTCGTGATGCTCCAAAGCTAAAATTGAAAAATTTTAACGTTTTTTTAATTGCTAGTTAGCAGTTCCACTAAAATACGGTGAATGTGGGTGATGTTTTATAAACACTTACACGTAATACGTTCGAAATAGGTACATGCGGCTAACAGACGTACCAGTAATGTTTTTTTTTACACATTTGAACCTTTATTTTAGAAAACTGTACACTCGATGGTTCCATTCATACGCCGCTTTTGCAATTATATATAAAAGAAAATAACAAAATAGGTATTTTACTCGCTAGGCGTAAAGATGGACGATTGCAATGTGTCAATATTTTGCCTCAATGGAAACAAAAGTCAAAATTACGTTTTTGCGCAACCTCTAATAGAGTAGTAGACATATGAAAATTTCTGCTGCTCGAATACTTTTTTTTTGTTGACGTGGGGGAAATGCCTACGCATACCCGCCCTCGCGGGGGAAGAGCGGGTTATGTCGGACTCGCACCGACTAAAACCCCCACTATGTTACACCTAGGCGCATATCGGCAGGGTAACGGGAACGCTTTCGCACACCTCCGCGACCCTACCAGCGCTGGTCGCCTTAGCAGCCCCCTCACGGGGAGCAACTACCCTCTCCTTCAGGTAAGGCGCGCCTTCCTACTCGGCCCCATTTTTACGGCCAACGAACTCCCCCGAGTTCACTGACCTGGGCCATGGGAGCCAGGAGAGCCAGTGCTAATAAGCAGCAAGCCTCCCAGCCACCAGCGGCGGACCTGGTCTGTGGCTCCGCCGCTCACTACGTTTCGGTCGCGAAGGATAGGGAGAACGGCTCACCGCAATTCCGACACTCCTCTCCCCCCGCGGCCCCACCACCACTGCATCAGCGGTGCAGCCCCGCCGAGTCGCGGAGGATAGGGAGAACGGCCAACGCAATACCGACACTCCTCTTCCCCCGCGACTCCTCCTCGGTAGCAGAAGACAGGGAGAGTGGCTCCACCTCTACCACCCTGCACCCAATGAGCTCACTCGGAGCGGTTCTCTCGGGCCGGCCTTACACCACAGGCCGGCCCAGTGTGGGTTCCCCTTAGCTTCGCCGTGG